CAATAAACATTATGATGCACTTTCCTATTGCTTGGCATCACCCTACTTTGTCATATTGTGCTAAACATCGCACTTCTCAACAAGCTTTTGAGTAACTCTATTGCTGTCTTTAACAAAGCAGAAATTGGGTTTGTATATCTTAGTTTTTGTATTGCCCTTTATTGCTTCGTTCAGTCTCTTTGCCGATTGACATTCTTATGAGCAGTTGTTTTCTAGCACACCGCCGATTCTGACGCTGAAGTTCGCGATGCATCGTACGCAGCTTTGGGTTCTGCAATGCGAGCTGTAGGAGAAAAAGCATGTTTGCCGCTTCTTTCTGATATACTCGAAGACAAACTGAAAATGGGAAAGGTAGGCAATTTGTTACTTTCTTTGAAGGCGGCAAATCATTTTTTGTTTAGATAAAAGAGTTCTACCAGAAAGCTTGTGAGGAAGCCGGCCCAGAGGTTATCACTCAAATGGTCCAGTCGATCCATAAAGCTGATGTAAGTATGCGATATAGTTTATTTCGCCATCTTTGCTTTCGCGTCGCAAGTTTTGCTCGTTCATGGAAACTCAGCTTGTTGCTTTAATTTTGCGTTGCCACAAAGTTGCACATCGTGTTGTGTTGTGTTGCTATTGTGCTAGTGTGCAGGCTCCTACTTCGAAAAAAGCGGACAATGCCAAGAGAGGAGCGCCTTCTGCTCGCGATTCATCATCAGAACGTCGATCAACTTCAGCTCAAGAGGAGGAAGCAAATGGTGATGATGAGGTCTGGGTGTTGTATGTTTGTATTTTTGATTGATGGGATATACCTCAGTTTCATATTTTCTTTTATGTGAGATGTGTAGCAGTTTTGTTGCCCTGTAGCGGTCCTTGGTAAAGGGCTTGTAGATTTTCTCGAGCATTCATCATAAGTTCTAATACATTTTCTGCAGTCACTGAAGCCACCAGGAGGAACGCCACCTGTGAAGAAGGTTCAAGAGAAGAAAAAAGAATTACCCAGAAAGGTTAGTTTTTTTTT